GAAGCAGGGGAGGGATACGGGATGAGTCGGCCCCGCTGTTTCTTGGGACGGTTCTGGACTCTCGTCCGCATCCTCGCCGCCGGGTCAGCGTCAGCACTGGCGGGCAGCTGCCTCTTTCCCCTTTGTCTCTCCCACTCCCTCCTCTCGCTTTCTTTGCACCCGACTCTCGTCTTCCAATATCCCCCCGTCATTCTTCGCTTTTCTTCATTCCTCCTTCGACCCCCGCCTCCCCTTGCCCCCAAGCTTTCCCCAAGCTTTCAGAAGCAATCTGCCCTCCCGCTTTCCCCCCTTCTTTCCCCCTCCCTCTTTTCCCCCTTCTTTCCCCCTTCCTCCCGACGTGTCTCCTTGTGAGGCCGCCCCCCTCCGCCTTCCCCGGCCCCGCCCGAGCTCCCCATGCCAAGGAAGAGCCTCGGCCAGGCTGGCCATTCCCGACCCCGGGCAAGCTGGCCTGAGCCTTCTTGTCTGCAATGGGATCTTCACCACGGCTCTCTCTCTCCGTGTCCCCTCCAAGAATGGCGGGGTCCTCGTGGTGATGAAGGCCAGTGATCCCTTCCTTCCCCCGCCTTTGCATCTCCGGCAGCAGCGCCTCCAGGGGTGCAGCCCGCAGGGGTGTGCCCTCAGGGTTACAGCCTGGGGGGCACAGCCGGGAGGGGACATCCCGAGCGGGGCGGCCCCAAAGGGTGCAGCAAAGGCCATCAAAGTGAGGTTCAGCTTAGAGGGGCGCAAGGGAGCATTCCAGAGGGGTCCAGCCCTCGAAGGATGCATGCCATGAAGCTGCAACTTGGAAGGGGTGCTGCCTGGAAAGGGGTTCAGCCTGGAGGGATGCTGCCCTTACGAGGCACATCCCAGAGGATTTCGGCTAGGCGGGATGAAGCTGAAGGGCTGCATCCCAAAGGGGAACATCTTGAGGGGTCCAGTCCTCAAGGGGCACATCTCAGAGAGAGAGCAGTCGGCGCCTCCAGCCCTCGAAGCACCCCAGAGGGGCCTGGGGCAGCCACCAGCTCTGGCCCTAGCAAAGATCCCGTGCAGGTTACCGGCCTGGTTGCCATTGCCGGAGGGGCAAGGCGAAATGTCTCTGGGTCGGGGCTGCGCCCGAGGTGCAGCTCCGGGCACGGCGAAGCCCGGGCACGGCCCAGCCCCAAAGCCCTCCGGACAGCCACGGGAAGCTGTGAGACGGCAGCAGTCTGTCCCGGGTGAGATGTCGCTGGCGCCAGCAGGCGGGAGAGGGGGAAGGGGGGCGGCTCTGGGCTGCTGCAGGCAGCGCTGAGTGATTCATGGCCTCGCCAAGAAGACTGTCAGGGGCGAGATTTTATTGTAGACGGGAAAGAGGGGAAGGAGGAGGGAAGTAGAGGGCTTGCGGCAACTGTTACAGTGGGGACGGGGTGGAGGGGACGCGGCTCTCCCTCCCAGCGAACGCCCGGGTCCGAATCGACACCCTCAAATTTCCCCATTCCCCAAAAACTCAGCGTGGGCACCATGGAAACAATAATTTATTTAAATACTCTCTGCTTATTGTAAAAGAAACATTAATGAGTGTATAAGTTTTCCATAATAAATAACCAAAAATACTTTTTTTTTTTTNGCCCTGGAGTCACAAAATAACACAGCAGTCTCGGGGGGAATGAGGGAGAGAAGCTGGGGGGCCGCCGGGTGCGGGGGTCCGTTGTGCCCTGAGAGGGATGGAGGGGTGCTGGACCGAACCGAGGGATGCTGAACCCTGCTCCGTTCCCCTTTGCAGGTGAAGATTTGGTTTCAGAACAAGCGCTCCAAATTCAAGAAGCTGATGAAGCAAGGAGGGGCCGCCCTGGAGAGCAGCGCCTTGACCAACGGCAGGGCTCTCTCGGGCAGCTCGCCACCCGTGCCTCCAGTGTGGAATACCACCTCCGCCTCCGGTAAGGCCTCGTCGGGGACCCCGGGCACCTACATCCCCAGCTACACATCGTGGTACCCTTCGGCCCACCAAGAAGCTATGCAGCAGCCGCAACTGATGTGATTATATATACGTTTTCCCCTAATGCAAGCACCATCGGTCCCGAAAATAATTAAAATTGTTACAGGAAAAAAAAAAAAAACATACAAAAAACCAAAACAAACCAAAACAAAACAAAAAAAGAAACTAAGTCAAATAAAAAGAAATTTAAAAAAAAAAAGAGGGGGAAAGAGAGAGAGAATTAAAAAAAAAAGAAAAGAAACCGAAGCAAACAAACAAACAGGAGGTCTCTTGCCCATCCAGCCATTAGGACGCTGCACGGTAGCTCGGTGCAGGAGAGCACAGATGTGATGCGGGCCGGTTCCCACCGCTGACAGCTGACGGAGCGGCCCCGAGCACCGCACAACAGCCTGGGAGCAGAGCGAGCGCCGGCCGCGGCTTTGTGGGACAATCAGAAAAAGATGTCTGGGGGGCGGGGAAGCCCTCTCCTCTGTCCTGTCTGTCTGTCTGTGTCTGTTGAAATGTAGGTCATTTATTTACTACTCCGATCTGACCGTTTCTTAAATTGCAAGGGGGAAGGAAGCTGTACAATTTACCAGTGCTTCTTTCCCGCGACATTTTCTGTACCTTTCACTATTCATCTGTATATTTTTTTGTTGTTGTTAAAAGGGGAAGATAGGGGGTTTATTTATTGATTTAAATTACCACTATGAGAGTGCTAGAAACAAACTCAGCTTGCTGAGTGTACTGCGTGGACGCACAGTTTAAACAAAACCACAGACGGTCCGTCGTCCCGTTCCCCCCCCTCTCCCCGAATAAATCACCGCGAGGGAAGGATGCGATTTTAACTTTTACAGTAACTTTTATACTTCGCTGCTGTGGAAAGTTTTGGTCCGAATGATTTGCATTTCTCGAGTATTTAACAAAGGAAATAAATGCACATTGTTTGGTACTCTGAAGTGGAATTGCAGCAGCTGCCGGCGCTTTGCTGAGGTGAAGCAAGGCGCAGAGGACGAAACGAGAGCCCGGAGGGCGGCGGGGGGGACCCACCGGGAGGGCGGGCGGGCGGGCACACCCGCGCAGTCCCGGCGCGGCCTCCCCGCGCAAAGCCGGCCCGAAGGTGAAATGCACAAATTGACGTGCAGGAGCTACTCGCTGTACATATTTTATTCTTAATTATTATTATTATTGTTCTGTAAACATGTTGCACAAATTTAGCCTTTTTTAATTATTATTATAATTATAATTATTATTTCTGTTCTGTTTCGTGTGGCTGTAAAACATGATGCTTTGTGTACTGAGATCTTGACATTTTACTTGTGAAATTCGGAAAATGTGATAAACTGAGCTCGGCTGTGTTTAGTGTTCTATATGTCAAAGTTTAGTTTTATATTGAGAATGTTAACTTATTGCTTTGTATCTGGGGGAGAAAATGGAAAAAAACCCACACAAATCTTTGTACATAAGTTATAAAGTTTCTTTGAGACAGTAAAATTATGGTTTGGAAAAAGAGACACGCATGCTCCCTGTCCCGTAGCGCGGCCGACA